ATTCCAAAAAAAAAAAAACACACACACACACACATCTCATATGATGTTGCATCTCAAAAACTATTTAAATAAACAAACTAGTCTGAGGGTATACATCAATCGACAAACCTGACTGATGCTATTTAACTTGTTTAAGTGTTAAATAGTCGTATATCCACCATTAAAGTACATGGTCCTGTAAGCTGTTATTCATATTTTATCATTTGATATGACAAGCTGTGCCTCATCGAAACATCGCTTTTAGATCTTAGGTCTCTTTGGGCACAATCCGTTTCAGGACATTTGGAGTCGATCTAGAGATGTCTGCCTGTCTGACTCTGGAACTTATATCAAGTTCAGAGATGAGCAATATCGGTCTACTCCTTCTGGTACCTCCCTCACAAGGAGTAAAAACATTTTTAAAGAAATCTCATAAAAAGAGAAAGGATCGTCCAATTTCGTTTACATTTTGCAAATCCCAATATTTGTATCACTAGGTACTAGGTACGGGTCAACATTTTGATAAAGATTTTGAATAATCACAATGCTTGTACAACACTATATATTGTATGATATGGAGTCAAAATTTTGAACCACAATAACCCTCATAAAATGCAAAATGAACATCCAATTCTTTTCAAACTTGTCACATGACAATATTTACACCAACACAAAATCTGGTGTTAAGATGGGGTATATCGGACCACTCTATCTAGTACCATTCTCACATATGGTTGGCATTTTGCACAATTTGAAATGTCATAAAAAGTGAAAATATTCCCAGTGCTATTCAAAGATTGCACATTTCACTATTTGTACTAACATTAGATTTAGCGAAGAGTTGGTATATGAAGGTCTATTCTTTATGGTACGTCCCAAACAAAAATATATGTTCAAATGTTGAGGGCATTTATCTGTCGGTAAATCGACTGATACTTGTTCACTTGTTTATGGACTTGCGTATGCGCTTCACATGACATTTTGTATTGGCCTAAACTTGTAAAAGCAGCCGTTACACCTTGTTATATCTTGAACTAAATAAATAGTTCAGACGACAATATTTATTGCCAAGACATTTGGCGAAGGTATTTATACCCGACATCACAGGGTAATATATCTTTTTGCAATTGTTTGTAACAAGCAAAATTGAACTAGATAGTGCCATAGTGACTTTTGATTATCTCCAGAGAGTCACATTCGAAGTCGATTTATACATGTCCGCTCATCTCTCCATATATATTTGTTAGCAAAATGTACAATGCAAATTGGCCACAATCTGTTCAAGATTAGATATAGCTCCCATATATATCATCATCTGATTTGATGTTTATTGTACAATAAAAGTACTAAATTTGAAGGGTGAAGGGGTAGAGCTGGAATCATGAAATATGATATGGTTGTCACTGTTGGTGTCTATTGTTGAGAAAAGGAGCTGGCTTTGGATATGCGTAGTATAATTGAACTAAATTTGGTAATGGAAGAAATTATAGAGCTGAAATTTTTAATATTGGTAAATGATCTTGGTAAATGAGGTTGAGATATGGAGATTGTTTTGAAGATTTTAAATTGTACGAAAACAACTAAATGCTGCTACATTTGGTATTTTGGCGAAGAATAGAGCTGAAAACGTGAAATTTTATATGGCGATAACTGTTGGCGACTTAGGTTGAGGTGGAACTGTTTTGCAAATGATTACTAAAATTATACGAAAAGTACTAAATTTGGTATTAATTTCCACGAATTCACAATTTGCCTTCGTCGTTTTTTACTACAAGATTTCAGCACATGTACCTAATTTTTGTACGGCACGAGGGATATTAGAAATGGTCCTAATTTTTATACGCTCCATACTATGGAGGGTATATTAACTTTGTCATTCCGTTTGTAACTCCTCGAAATACTCATGTCAGACCCTACAAAGTATATATTCTTGATCAGCGAAAAATTCTAAGTCGATTTAGCGATGTCCGTCTGTCTGTCTGTCTGTCTGTCCATCCGTCTGTCTGTTGTAATTACGCTATCTTTCGAACGAATTGAGATAGAAGGCTAAAATTTTGCACACATGTTTATTTTTCTAGTAGGCAGTTAAGTTCGCAAATGTCCCATGTAGGTCTACGTTTTCATATAGCCCCCATATAGCGGTACCTCCCGATATTCGGTATTTTGATGATTTTAGCGACATTATTCAACGGACTTGTTTCAAATTTAGTATTTGAAGTTCGAAACGGATACTACAGCCTATGACAGAAAATTGTCTGTGCAGGTCTACGTCTCCATATAGCTCCCATATAACGGTATCTCCCAATATTCGGTATTTTTATGATTTTAGCGACATTATTCACCGGAATTGTTTCAAATTTGGTATTTGAAGTTCGTAATGGATACTACAGTCTATGACAGAAAATTGTCTGTGCAGGTTCACGTCTCCATATAGCCCCCATATAACGGTATCTCCCAATATTCGTTATTTTGATGATTTTAGGTACAATACTCACCGAAATTGTTTGAGATGTCGTATTTGAAGTTCGTAATGGATGCTACAGCCTGTGACAGAAAATTGTCTATGCTGGTACAGGTCTTCGCACGGCTCCGATATAACGGTACCTCCCTATATGCGATATTTTGATGATTTGAATATGGTAATGGCTTATGACAAACAATGCATATGTAGGTCCACGTCTCAACACTCCAATTAAAGTACTATCTTCGGTATTTTTAAAATTTTAACAGAATTTTTTAAGGACTTTATTTTTTGGAAATTTCCAAATTCGTTCCAAATGGTGGAGGGTATTCAAAGTTCGGCCCGGCCGAACTTACTGCTTTTTAACTTGTTTCCCAGTAAAATAGGTTGATTCGATAAATGTTGATTTCATTCATTGATATTAAAAATGGCATTGTTAGGTTAGGTTGAAAAGATGGGCAAAAACGATCGCCACATGCCCTTGTGGACATACACTTATGCCAGTATAGGCCTGTTGCACACTCAAGACTAAGAGGTTCTTGAAAGAAGACGGGCATTATAATTGAAATTCAGTTGCCTTTAAAAGATTCCTTAACGGCTTTATTTCATTTACCATGACCTGATTTAGGTCTGGTATGGTGTCGTTCCCTATGAATTGAGATCTGATATTTGCAAACGCTGGGCATTGGCAGAGAAAATGCTCCAAAGTTACATCATCTCGCCCGCATGCGCTGCATATGCTGTTATCTGCACAAGCTATCCTGTAGGCCCAAGTGCCTCGTAAGGATCCCTGTTAGCCCACTAATCTCTTTCTTGACTAAAAATATAAGGTTTTATGGGGTCGCCCATAGGATTTTTGTGGTTTTCCCTATGCCTTCATTGTTCTATAGGGATATATGGTTGCTGCTGCTAACCCCCTGCCTGTTTTGACGAGAGAGTTCGTTATCTTGTTACCTCTAATTGACGCATAACCTGGTACCCACATAATGCGTACTGGGCCGTGTTGGGAATAGTTGTTGAATAATTTATACATTCCAATACATATTTTGAATTTACTGTTTTGGATGTTATGGCTTTTATAGCGATTTTACTGTACGTTAGGGCGTTAACGGTGACCTGCCTCGTGTTGACATTAAGCCAATTCAGACATTCTGCAATCGCCTGGACCTCCGCTTGAAGGATCATACTATGATCTGGCAAGTGGAAAGAGTTTACGGTATATGGGTCAATAATTAAAAGTTCCGGTCCCGCTCTCCCCCTATCACTGAGCCGTTTGAATAACAACAGTGTGATAGGAATCCGAAGAATGGCATAGTACAGGGTGAGATAAAAAAACTGCAACAAAGTCAAATGTTTACATTTCTTTAAATTTTATTGAATGAAAGCAAAAAATGTCGGAAAATAGCATCAAATCTTAGAATAAATTTAGATTTGTTCAAATTGGTCAACTTTGGCACGAATTATGGCCTTCAAACGGCCAATGAAACCGTCACACGCTGCCGAAATGTTGTTCTGCGGTATTTTCGCCCATTCCCGGCTTGCGCTTGCTTCAGGCTTGCGACACTTTGGTATTTTTTAGTGCCAACCTTACTTTCCAAAATACTCCCGACTCAATAGTCCCGTCACCATGGCCGGCGCTTGAGTTCTGGTGGCCAACCGAAGGCGTAAATTTTCAGCTGACCTCTTTGGCAAGTAAACACGATCATTGTGTTTGTTTACAAACTGTTAGACAACGAATGTTTTCTCATCGGAGAAAACCAAATTCGGCAGTTCACCACTTTCGGCCAAGCGAAGCAACTCTCTAGCTCTTTTCTCCGAGCTCATTTTTCAATGTTTGCCGAGCCATTTTTCTGCTGATGTTGCCGGTTTCTTCTCTCCACTTCCTTGAAGTCGGGCTACGCTACTAGTATCACGATAACGAGCGATGGTACGAGATACAAAAGATTTATTTCCATTTAAATGCTTGAGTGCTCTAACGATAGCCACTAGTGGTTTTCCAGCCAAATATAAAGAAATCACACTATCACGCTTGAATTCCATCACGAAAAACTTTTTTTCTGGAAAATTCTCACCAAAATGGTTTTGTACGCTTGTAAATAATATAATGAGGTGTCACTGGAATAATTTTTAGAGCTGTCGGACGAGTGGCTTAGAAATGACAGCAGCCTGAAGTTGTTTGCAGGTTTTTCACCTCACCCTGTATATGGGAGCTATATATAAATCTGAACCGATATTCTCCAATTTCCATGGAGTTTGTCCTTGAGCCAAACTCATGATTTGTGGAAAATTTTATATCAATCCGACAAAACGATCTGTGCATAGACAGATGGACGAACACACATAAATTGACTCAGAATGTGATTCTATGAAGATCATCAAAAGTAACTAGGGGTATATTTCTTTTCCTTCTGTGTGTTACAAGTAAATACACAAGGGCATCATACCCTGTACCACTGTATGGCGTAGGGTATACAAAGAAAAGTTAAAGTTATTGTGAGGATTTAATTTATCATAATACTTACTTTTATGCGAAATTAAATTGATTAAAGATACTAGCAAATGTTTCTTATCAAATATTCTTTGAAAAAAGTTCGGTTTATTAAAAAAATAAACAAATAAAAAATATTTTTGTAGACTTATTGTATTCACAACACTTAAAACTAAAACAATATTTTTGTATAAAAGAGAGAGAGAGAGACACAGAGAATAAAATGTATAAAATGTTAGAGAGGAATCGTAAGGAAGAGAGCAAATGGCGTGTGTTCACATTTTGGCATCCCACGGATACGGTAAACCCAGCTCGCTGCCACACGGAGGATTGTCATTCAAGCCACAGGGATAAAAGTGCGGCCAATTCTTTATGATACGATAAACATTGGCTCCGGGGCTCTTCGTTTGCTTAGTCTGAAATGAAGTATGGCATTTGAATCAACACCGCGGTTTTCTCGCCTTTCATTCATTGGCTTGCCTACCTGGTTTTGAGCCACTAACTTGTAATTCAAATCGATGAATTTATTGGTCAGGCCGTAGGCCAACAAATACTGTGTAGCCTCCACCTGTTTCTCGTTCGGCTCGTAGCGTCCGTAGTCGCCCATGAAAGTGATCGCCAATGAACTGTTGGCATATGTATTTGCCCAGTTCCAGCCGCGACCGACGTAGACGTAACCATCGGAGCCAACCTAAAATGGCAAACAGGCCGTCGTCATCAACGATAAGTACGCACGTGAATTGTTTCGCCGTATTCGGCGCAGCATTCAGATGTTTATTCACGTATGTATATATGTCCGCATATGTATGTACACGGATTTATAACTATTTCTATGATTTTTTATTTGTGCAAATTCGCTTGACATGCATCATGAATAATAAAACCTCGCATACTTACGTAAAAATTAGACTGTATATCCGGAAGACCTTTTTCGGCTATGGCCGAGTCTTGAATGGTGCGCATTTTAATGGAACATTTATAAATGGTGTAGCAAGATGTTGACTGAACTCCAATGTGGGTGATTACCACGTACGGTATGGGATGTGGCAAGGGCACCTTCAGCTTATTGGCCAATTCCGAGGCACCCCACTGCAAGCGGTCGACCACAATGTGGCCGTTTCCTAGATTCGGAACTAAATCACTCTAAATAAAGTTAATAACAAAAGATTTCAGATCGGCGGACGTTCTCTTACATGTGTCATGCTCGTAGTTGTTGCTAAAAAATATTGGGCCCCGCAGCGGTTCGGGGGGTTTTCGTGTCAGTTCCACGTAAATTATGATAGCAGCTACAATCAGGACCAGCGAAATGAGAGCCACCAATAATTTCGATGTTGTTGTAATCTTCTGTGACACTGAAGTACTCGAAGTGTTTCTTGTTTGATTTATTCCTGCGACAAAAGAATATGGACTTAGCTTTTATACAAAACAAACAGTAAAGAAAGGTCAAAGTCGGGCGGGCCGACTTTATGATACCCTACACCACTATGCTAATAAAGTGGAGCTAGGCTGAATTCGGTCGGAAATGCATGCCATTTGAGCTGATATTAGCCATTTGGTGCACATTTAACCCGAAATCGGATGAAGATATATATGGGAGCTATAGCTATATCTAAAACGATTTTTACTAAAATTGGTGTACATACTTGCTTCTAGGCTGTATTCGGCCGGATGTGCCAAAATTCATGCCATTTCGGCTGATAATGGCCATTTGGTGCACAATTAACACGAAATCGGATGAAGATATATATGGGAGGTATATCCAATATCTGAACAGATTTTTAATAAAATTAAAATCAACTATTTTTGGGCTTTATCTGATATCTGGTACCAAATATCATTCTTGTGGAATGCATATTACGAATGTGAGGGAGTAAAACACTAAATCGGATGAAACATATATATGGGAGCTATAGCTGTATCTGAACCGATCTTCTTTAAATTTGATGTGATTGTTTCCAGACAGACAGGATGTACCAAAATCCAGGTCATTTGGGCTGATATTGGCCATTTAGTGCACAATTAACCCGAAATCGGTTGAATATATAGCTATATCTAACTGTGAACCGATTTTCACTAACTTTAATAGGGTTCGTCCTTTGGCCAAACAAATGTTGTTTGGAAAATTTCATCTCAGTCGGATAATAAATGTGACCTGCATTTTGTTCAATACATGGACAGACGGACGGACGGACAGACGGACTGACATGCATAAATTAACTCAGAAAGTGATTCTATGGAGATCCTCAAAAGTAACTATGAGTCTATCTCGCTTCCTTCTCCATGTTACAAACAAATGCACAAAGACATAATACCCTTACCACTATGTGGTGTAGGGTATAAAAACAGTCTCTATAAACTGATGAGGAGTTCTATGTTGGAAACTAAATATATGTAAATATGTGAGTAAGTAAACTGTCAAGAAGATTAACTCTGGAGTCGTTAACTAACTCCCAATCCGGGTAACATGGCTTCTTCGTCAATTTGTTTCCCTTTTTAAACCTTCCAACTTTTCCACAAGCCAATATGAAGGTTAACCATATTTGGGAATAGTTCTCCTTTAACTAGAGCTTTGGATTGTCGCGCAATGACTTTGTTCGGTTTATTATGATTGGTACTGATTATGGGAGCCTCTTTAATTCAGAATTTTGAATGATCCAACCCAATTTCTTACCGAATGCGATGAAGACATTTCGGTTTCTTTGTAGGCATGTTCTCGTGTAAATCGTCAATATAAATGCAGCCCTCATATAAAGTTTCCTCCTGAAATTAAGTTTCCATAGGATTCTGATGCAAAAAGGCTAAGGCCGGAATCGTGTTTTTCATTGTCTAGCCTCAAATATATTCGACAGATAAAACTATATACATATTATACAATACTCCTGAAATATTCTTCATTTTTATTTCTATAAATATAACTTGTGTAGAAAAGTTAATTTCTTAAAATACATCGGAATTATAAATTCTAATAACATCTGATATCAACTCTACTTCGTCCATAATGGGATTAAAAACTATAAACTAACTCAATAAACCATGGTCGAATTAAAAAGTAATTTATCGGTATAGAAATAGGTACACATCTCTGATTGGTGTGTATACAATGGATTTATGAATATACAGTTTGCCAATGAGATGTTGTCAAATGTATAATTTGGAAAAAAGAGAATTTAAAACTATTAGCCGGTTTTGCGATTTTAAATCTTTGTTGACGTGCTTTATGATTATTCAAACTGGGTAAACAGTGTGAATAATCATATGAGGGCGTTTCCGAATGCGGGGGACAATATTGTCCACTTCTTATTTGACCTAAGTCTGATATAAATATTAAAACCTGCAAGATTTCGACTACAAGATGAGATGAAATAAACCGCAACCAACTTCAGACTGCTGTCATTTCTAAATTCATTTCTGTTAAAATTATTCCAGTGACAGCTCATTATATTGTTTACAAGCCTACAAGAGCATTTTGGTGAGAATTTTCCACCAAAAAAGTTATTCGTGATGGAATTCAAGCGTGATAGTGTGATTTCCTTATATTTGACTGGAAAACCACAAGTGGCTATCGTTAGAGCACTCCAGCATTTAAATGTAAATAAATCTTTTGTGTCTCGTACCATCGCTCGTTACCGTGATACTGGTAGCGTAGCCCGACGTCAAAGAAGTAAGCGGAAGAAAGCAGCAGCATCAGCAGAAATAGTTCGAAAAGTAAAGAAGCAACTTAACCGAAACCCGGATCGCATTGCCCGAAAAATGGCTCGTGAGCTGAACATATTGCAATATTCCGTTCGGCAAGTATTGAAAAATGAGCTCGGGATAAAGTGCAAGAACTTACACCGCAACAGAAAGAAAATAGACTCAAAAGAGCTAAAGAGTTGCTACGCATAGCCGAAAGTGGTTAACTGCCGAATTTGATTTCCTCCGATGAGAAAACAATCATTGTCCAGCAGTTTGTGAACAAAAAAATGTGAACAACAAAAGAAGTCAGCTGAAAATGTGCACCTTCGGTTGGGCACCAGAACTCAAGCGCCGGCCATGGTGATGGTGTGGGCTGCAATAACAACCGATGCTCGCTCTCCGCTCGTATTAATCGACCGTGGCATCAAAATAAATGCAGGATATCATCGCCAAAATTTTCTGGAGGGTGTATTAAAGCCTTGGGCATGCAAACATTTTGGCTGCAGACCTTGGACATTGTAACAGGACTCAGCACCTGCCACCCAAGAATGTTTGCAAAATTAGGTTCTTCGCTTCATTTCCAGCGCACATGGCCATCAAGATCTCCGGATACCAATCCGTTGGACTATTGAGTCGGGAATATTTTGGAAAGCAAGGTTGGTACTAAAAAATACCAAAGTGTCGCAAGCCTGAAGCAAGCGCAAGCCGGGAATGGGCGAAAATACCGCAGAGCAACATTCGGGCAGCTTGTGACGGTTTCATTGGCTGTTTGAAAGTCATAATTCGTGCCAAAATTGACCAATTCGAACAAATCTAAACTTATTCTTAAATTTGATGCCATTTCCGACATTGTTTGCTTTAATTCAAAAAAAAAATTTAAAAAAAAAATGTAATAATTATCGCGTTTGAATTTGTTGCAGTTTTTTTTATCTCACCCTGTACTTCCTTCACTATGTATGAGATATGTAATATTCTTTAAAAATGTTGAAATGCGCATTAGTTACCAGATATAGTGGCCTGTAGTATTAAATAAATTTTATGTTAATCAAAATTTTAACCTTTTGCAGGGTAGGTACGAGAAGGAGTGTGCCGATTAATTTCATATTCACACCAGATCTCTGGTTGAGAAAAATATTAACATATAACAAGTTTGAAAATAATCGCTGACTTGTTGTGAGAAATATGGGTATTGTAAATTGTGACCCTTGTGCGGGAGGTACCAATAGAAGTGAGCCGATGTATTTCACCCATCTTCACACCAGATATTGTGTTAGTAGCAATATTGGGATGTGTGAAGTTTAGAAAGAATCAGATGCTTATCTCGCATTTCATGAACATTATGATTTTTCAAAATTTCTTTATACCAGATCTTCAGAGTTGAATACAATCAGACTCTCATTTCACATTGTAAAGCATTATAATTATTCAAAATGTTGAACTTTTGTATGGGGGGGGGGAGTACTTGATGGAGTGGGCCGATATTGTCTATTGACTGAAAAAACAATGAGGATTTGAAAAGTTTCCGCGAAATTGGAAATAGGAGGAAAAAATTATTCGTAAACATTTTGACCTTTTGTGCCGTAGGTAGCAGAAGGAGTGTAATGATATTGCTCGAATCTGAATTTGATCTAAGTTTGATTATAATATTACGATGTACCAAGTTTGGACAAAATCGGATTCTCCCTTCGAGAGTTGAGTTGATGGTGCCCACCAGCCAATCAAACGAGAGGACGCCCCTAAATCGACACAAAATATCCTGGAACGCATTTGGTCCAAATATACCTAGGGTCTGAAATCGTTATTTCGATGAAGCACATTTTGGACGTATCAAATGATAGCCATATTGCTGAGAGTATAAAAATGAAAAACATACAAATAATTGAACGATATTACCTTCTTAATTCTAGGATCCAAGATACCTTCAAATCTGTGGAGGTAAATCTAAAATCAAGAGTTTTTGATGAAAGAATAAATAGAATTGAGTTTCCAAAGTCGTAATAATTTAAATTGACCGTTAATGAAACTCGCAGTAGCTATTATTATCAATATTACCAAAATTTTTATACCCTCCACCATTCTATGGAGGTTATATTAACTTTGTCGTTCCGTTTGTAACTCCTCGAAATGTTCATAATAGACCCTACAAAGTGTATATATTCTAGATCAGCGTAAAAATCTAAAACGCTCTAGCGATGTCCTTCTGTCTGTCTATCCGACTGTCTGCCTGTCTGTCCGTCTGTTGTAATTACACTAACTTTCGAACGAATTGAGATAGAAGGCTACAATTTTGCATACATGCATAGTTTATCAGTAGGCAGGTTAAGTTCGTAAATGGGCCATGTCGGTCCACGTTTTCGTATAGGCCCCATATAACGGTGCCCCCCTGTTCCGTATTTTCATGATTTTCATAGCCACACTATTTACCGGAATTATTTAAAATTTCGTATTTGATGTTCGTAATAGGTACTACAACTTATGGCAAAAAATATTGTATGCAGGTTCAGATCTTCGTATAGCCACCATAGAACGGTACCTCCCGATATTCGGTATTTTGATGACTCTAGCGACATTATTCACCGGAATTGTTCCAAATTTGGTATTTGAAGTTCGTACTGGATGCTACAGCCTATGACAGGAGACTGTCTGTGCTGGCCTACGTCTTCGTATCGCTCATATATAACGGTGCCCCCGATATTCGGCATTTTCATGATTTTAACGACTTTATTTACCGGAACTATTTAAAATTTCGTATATGAAGTTCGTAATTGGTACTACAACTTATGACAAAAAAATCGTATGCTGGTCCACATCTTCCTATAGCCACCATATGACGGTACCTCCCGATACTCGGTATTTCATGATTTGTCCGACATTATTCACCGTAATTTGTACAAATTTCGTATTTGAAGTTCGTAATGAGCACTACACCCTATGTATGAAGGCCCACGTCTTCGTATAATCCCCATATAACGGTTTTCATTTAAGTTGTAGTTTTCCGATTTTTTTTTAAATTTTTCAATTTCCTTCGAAATGGTGGAGGGTATTAAAAGTTCGCCCAGGCCGAACTTAATTGTTTTTTTTTTTTCTTTTTGTTTATGGAAGTTATGTATATAGGAAACACATAAAACCGATTAACGTGAATATATTTCTAACCGAATAACATAAATATAATATGATTCAGCTCCATCTTGCTGTTCAGAATAATTTACAGATATACACTGATGGGTACACTGTTGTGGTATCTGTTTTTATCTTCAAACAATCTCTCATTTATTGTTCAATACTTTACAAAGACAAACAAAGAACTGCACAACCTACAGACGTCTATTCGTGCAGATGTATTGATATAGTTTGATAATATTCGGCAGTCGGTCCATTTAAAAATTCCCCTGTTAATCTTCTACTGCCAAGAAAACATTTCCAGCCGTCAATAGTACCCAGCAAAATTAAATTAAAGTTGTTCTATACGAAGTGGCGATTCTATTAACAATTTTGAAACAGTCCATTCGGAGGCGTGAAAAATGCATTACTCACTTCAAATTTTCACTGTTTTCAATTAGCAGCGTTTCCACAATACTTTATAAATGAACTCACTAATAGCACACCTGTGTTTCCGTGTAAAATTATCTTAAAAAGTAATGTGAATCGACAATGTGGAAACGAAATCCAAAAATTGATTTGACATTACCCCCAATTGAAGATATAGCCAGGAGAGCATAGTAAAATAAACAAACATACGAAATAATTGTTTGAAATCGGCTATCCATTTCACTATTGCACTTGAGGCCATGAATATTATATTTTGGTCAAACCCAAAACGCAGATATCCTCTTGTCGGCTGTATTTACAACAGTTACAACAAACAAACCCAACCTTTTGTTGTTTGTTGTTTTGCAAACACGCTTCCCTACTTACGTTTGCTAGGTTTCGATGGCGAATCTGCTGCAGAACCATAGGAACCATATTGATTTAGACGCTGACGAGTTCGCTGTGAATTGACCTTCAGTAACAATTTCATGTTCGTATTCCGAAACACTTGTCTGAAACAGTTCACCAAGAGATGTGGGGGATGGGAGGATACTTGGTACCTCTCTAAAAAATTATTTTTCTTATTTCACCAACGGCGAAAAAAATAAACACACGAGTTGTTTACGGGCATTTAGTAAATAAAATATTTCAGCGATTCATAATTCACAATCCGCACTGGTATGTATGGGGTTTATACAACAGATGTAGATAAATAAGTTTGCTTGCACTGTGACTGGTCGGCTTTCGGATACAAAACACGTATTGCACTCAACAAAGACAGTTGGTTGTCCGCGTTTTCTTCGTCGTCGTCTTCTTCTTCTTCTTTCGGTTTCAGAATCGCAGGTAATGACGATGAATCAATGGGCACAAGTATTATTTGTCATTATCTTTCACTACGTTTATCTTCTTTTGTGACGACCGGGGCTATCCACGACTGTGTCGATGGGTGTGACTGTGACATTAGTGGTACGTTTATTTTTATTCCGGTCTTTTCTATTCTCTGCCGCGCAGTCGACATAAATCGGATGACAAATTCACTTTTTACGATATGCCCCACTCTCGGATTATTAAATGAGAACGAGAACGATAACGAGTTGAATATTCGCTTAAATCTCGGATAATTCTTTCACTTCGAATTGACGATGGTGGCTAATTAAAATTGTGGGACATTTTGCCGGTTATTTAAGCGTGGCGTATGGTGTCATAGCGTCGACTGTTGTACGAGTTCCGCTGTAGCGGAGCAAATCACACACAAAATACAATTTTGAACGAAAGACTGCCAACCAGCCATCGTTTTAGGTGATGGCTGTTGGATGTTTGAGGTCTCTCAGAGTGATATTGCTGGTTTGACTGGTCTTCCTACGAGGCGACAATGTGAGTAAACCATTCACAAATCAATTAGAGATGACACAAGCTGTTATTGAGTACGTTTAAAATGTACCGTAGTGGACAGAAAATGCGAACCTCTTCCGATGTGTTTGTGGAAACTTTTAAAGTTGCATATGGTTAGCTATTTGGCTCGTTTTTTATATCTTACCTATATATGATAATATTTAGGTATAAAAACGAGATGATGGGCATCGAGATGAAATTATGGACAGCTCATATGTCTGGAACGAACTCTATTGAAATTTGTAATATTCATCATATCTCAGGTATATTGTGCACTATATGTGTAATATCAGTCCACTTAGGTTGAATTTTTGAACACAAGATCCAATTCAGCTGTTCAATAATTATACCAATTTTGGTGAAAATCATTTCAGATATAGCTACTTATAGCTTCCAAACGAACCAGATTATCAGATTTGATATATAAACCTTTTAAAATTAGTGAAAATCGTTTCAGTTTAAGATATTATTCATTTATATTAGTTTCTTCCGATGTCAAATTAAGCCGAAATATGCATTAATTTCAAAATATCATAGTTGGCATGATTAACTTAACATAAATTCCCAATATAAACGTTTATTTTTACGGATAACTAGATAGATGACAGTCATTTGTCCATTTTCGAACAAATTAATGATAAACTTAATACTTGATCAAAATAGAGTCTATAACAAATAATTATTTTTAGAGTAACAAAAGTGAAAACCCTTGATGGGGGGATGCCTTACCATCTCTAATGGCAACAACTTTTGTTTGTTCGTTTTTTGTTGTTATTTTATAGCCAGCATTGCCGGTTATGGCTGACTGATAAAAAGTCACGAATTGCGAATGCCTCCAATTCATTTGGAAAAAGTACTAATTCAACGTACCTCGTCAAATGACGATTGCATCTGAATACTGTTGGCGGGGGAGCTGGTTCTTATTGCAGACATCTGCTATTTTTTATAAATGTAATGAATAACAAGATATGGTCATTGTACTGTTAATGTAATTTTTATACGATTCTCTCAAAAATAAAAAGACGGTAGATCTAATGCGAAGAGTGGATACTAAATGTTATACATGTTATGTATAATAATTGCAGAGGGAATTTTGGACTCAACACAAATTAAACAAGTAAAAAATCCAGTCTGAACTTTTAATACCGTCCACCATTTTGAAGGAACTAGAAAAATGTCCACAAAAATCCATAGAAAAATACCGCTCAAAGAAAACCCGTTATATGGGGACTATACGAAGCCGTGAACCTTCATACGCAATTTTTTGTCATAGGCTGTAGTACCCATTGCGAACTTTAAATACGAAACTTGAAACAATTCCGGTAAAAATGTAGCTAAAGTCAACCAAATTGCGAATATAGAGGCTAAAATCATCAAATACTGAATACTTACCTGCAGACAAAAGGCTGCGAAATTTTAGCTTCCTATCCTAACTCTCGTTTTGACTCTAGCGTGATTACAACAGACGGACGGACAGGGCTACACGTCTTTGAATTTTACGAAGATCATGAATATTTATATACTTTGGTGTGTTTAAAATTATTTTGATGGTGAACTTAATATGCCCTCCATACTACGTATGTTGGTGGAGGGTAAAAAAAATAACTTTCTGTTTATTTAAATATCTGGTAAATATTCATATTCGTAGAGAAACGTATTACTTACAGAATTTCTATTTCAAAAGTAGAAACATTTATAATTCTCTTTGTCATCTATCATCCTGCAGATAAGAAAAGAAGTAGCAAGTACAAAACCAGTAAGTTCGGCTGGGCCGAACTTTGAATACCCTCCACCATTTGGAAAATTAGAAAATTTTCCAAAAAAATAAAATCCATTAAAAATTCTGTTAAAATCTAAAAAATACCGAACATCTGAAGGTGCCGATATATGGGAATATACCATATTCTGAACCTACATAGACAAATCTATTTCTTGGGGTAAAGTACTCACAAAGACCTCCTTGTACAGAATTTCAGAGAATCCCGTTAGAAAATGCGGCTAAAATCATCAAAATATCGAATATTGGGAGGTACCGTTATATGGGGGCTATACGATATCGTGGACATATATAAGCAATTCTCTTCAGGGGGTAAACTACTCACAAGCACTCAGATAATTTCATTGCACAATGTAGTTAAAATCATCAAAATACCGAACATTTGGGGTACCGTTATATGGGGGTTTTACGATATCATGGACCTATATGGACAATTCTCTTCCAGAGGATAAAGTACTCACAAAGAACTCCTTATGTAGAATTTCAGACAATTACATTGAAAATGTGGCTAAATCAAAATCAATCATGACATCGTGGACCGATATAGCCCAACTTCGAACTGGATCTTCCTGCAGACAAAAGACAGATCGATGCAAAGTTTTAGCTTCCTATCTTGATTGGTTTTGACTGTAGCGTAATTACAACAGACGGACGGACGGACAGTGCAAAATCTTCTTAGAATTTTACGCTGATCAAGAATATATATATATATATATATATATATAGTATCCATAGTATGGAGGGTAGGTTCCGCTTTTCGTTCCGTTTGTAACACCTCGAAATATACATTTTAAACCCTACAAAATATATATTCTTCATCAGCATAAAAATCTATGTCGATTTAGTGGTGTCCATCTGTGAAAATCACTCTAGCTTCCGAACGAATTGAAGTAGATTGATAACATTTTACTCAAATGTATATTATGTCTGCAAGACTTTTGTTATTGAAAATGTAGGTCCACGTTTTGCCCCCATAGCCCCCATATAACGATACCTCCCGATATTCAGTATTTTGATGATTTTGCGACATTTTTCTTCGGAATTGTTTCAAGTTCGGTATTTGAAGTTCGAAATGGATGCTACAGCCTAAGACAAAAAATTGTATGTGCAGGTCTACGTCTTCGTATAGCCCCCATATAACGGCATCTCCCGATATTCGGTATTTTGACGATTTTAGCGGCATCACTCACCGGAATTGTTTCAAATTTGGTACTTGAAGTTCGTAATGGATACTACAGACTATGACAGAAAATTTTTCGTGCGGGTCCACGCCTTCGTATACCCCACTCATAACAATACGCCCTTTCTTCTCGATATTTTGATGATTTTAGCGACATTATTCACCGGAATTGTTTCGGACTTCGTATTTCAAATTCTGCAAATGTCAAAAAACTACTCATACAGGTCCACATCTTCGCATAGCTCCTACATAACAGTTTTCATTCAAGCGGAATTTTTCGATGAAATTTAAATCTGCCAAGTTCCTTCCAAATGGTGGAGGGTATTAAAAGTTCTGCCCGGCAGAACTTAGCTTCTTTTTTTCTTATTTTTCAAGGACTGTTGATATATTTGTCGAAAATATCACCCATTTTGACAACTTCCTTCCGAGTGCCATATTGGAAGCGTAATGTAATTAACAAGGCAATTGATATCGCTTGACAGGTTAACATTTTTCATATTGAATATTATTCATTTTTCACACCCATTTTAAGATCTCGGAAGATGTTTTCTAAAACCTACTTCAGTTTTATACCCTCCGCCCGTGGTAAATAGGAATTTCTTATTGTACCACGGGCGGAGGGTATAAAAGGAGAAAAAAGGATATGGCCGCTTCCTATCAAAATTAGATACAACTACTTATAACTCTTTATTTTAAAATAGATTTAAAAACCACGAAGATGAATCACATACCTTAATTTTCCTTCAAATATGTATTTCAAAATGTTGAATATTTCAATTCCACGAAAACTGATTATATATTTAATGTGCGCCTCACAATGTGCGCCTCACAATGTGCGTTTCTTTTAATCGTTGGTTTTGATCATTTTATTTATTTAATTTTTTTAACTATAAATACTCGTACAAATATAAAATTGGCACAAATCACAGCTCTTTGCTTACATGTTTATTTACGCACTCTTATATTTTATGGAAGCCAGCTCAGATTGACATGTAGCATGTGTTAGTTCCAACCGTTTTCATACATAGAATGGAGTTTTCATACATTGAAATAATAATTTTAGAACCAATAAAGTATATATATTCTTGATCAGCATAAAATTCTAAGACGATTTAGCCCTGTCCGTCTGTTGTAATTACGCTACAGTCAAAAAGAACAAAGATAGGAAGAAGATAATTTTGCACAGATCTGTCTTTTGTCTGCAGGCAGGTCAAATTCGAAGATGGACTATATCGGTCCACGATATCGTATAGCTCCCATATGACGGTACTCACCGATATTCGGTATTTTCATGATTTTAGCCATGTTGTTCAATTGAATTGTCTGAAATTCCACACAAGGAGTTCTTTCAGAGTACTTTACCTCTTGAAGGAGAATTGTTTATATAGGTCCACGATATCGTATAGCCCCCATATAACAGTACCCCCTGATGTTCGGTATTTTTAATAGAATTGTCTGAAATTCTATACAAGGAGTTCTTTGCGGGTACTTTACCGCCTGGAAGAGAATTATATAGGTCTACGATATCGTATAGCCCCCATATAACGGTACACCCCGATATTCGGTATTTTGATGATTTTAGCCACATTTTTCAAGGGAATTGTCTAAAATTCCACACAAGGAGTTCCTCGTGAGTACTTTACCCTCAGAAAGAGAATTGGTTATATAGGTCCATGATATCATATAGCCCCCATATAACGATATTTACATGATTTTAGACACATTTTTTCAATGGAATTCTCTGAAATTCTACACAAGCAGTTCTCTGTGAGCACTTTACCCTCCGAAATAGAATAGTCTTTATAGGTCCACAATATCGTATATCCCCCATATATCAACACCTTCCGATGTTCGGTATTTTTAAGATATTAAGAGAATTTTTAATGTTTTTTTTTTTTTTTTTTTTTTGAAAATTTCCTAATTCGTTCCAAATGGTGGAGTGCTTACTGCGTTTTTCCTTGTTTAAACTCAAAAGCAGTAAATCTG